GCTGCCCTGAAATATGGAAGAGTGAAAATGTGCCTGCGGTTCACGCTACTTTAAAATATACTTTTAAATGTAGTTTGCAGCATTTTAGATGTGTTTTTACTTTTACGGCTTTTGGTACTGTAATTAAACTGCATAAAGAAAAATACCACAACATCCAAGTAATTAGATTAGGGGTTAATATTTCAAAAATAATGTTTGCATGGAAATAAAAACTTCCGTCAATAATAAAATATGCGATTTCTACGATTTAGAATAATTTGCCTATAACAATTTTTATATAATCAATTCACAACTACAACTTTAGTGATTTTCATCAAACTTCAACAAACACGAAAAATGGTTCTTATTATTTCTGGCGTTTCAGAATTAACACCCTAATATTTTTTTTTAATGTGTATTACCGGATAAAATGGTCGATGAGAAAATTGTTTACAAAAAAAGTTTATAATAAAATTATTGAATTTTTTCATAGGAGCACAACAATACGCATCGACAAGTTCAACTGACTTCGGCGTCTGCGACATATTGTTCTGCCTACTTTATTCTGATTTGTAACGTGTTCGTAACAACTGGAGTGTTTCTAACCAGAAATCTGTTATTATTGTTATTTGGATTCCTTATACCTACCTGTTTAACGAGTGTGCGAAGTGCGAAGTATCCGAAAAAAGATGTCATCAATGGTTTTCAAACTGAAATTAGGGGATACAGTTATAAAACATTTACAGTAAAGTTACGAAATACATCAGTGTTGATAAGCTGATAGTTATATAACAACAAATTTATTTAGAATTTGATGATTTCAGAATGGTGTGTTATTTAATTATGTGTAAGTATGTTATTTTTTGTTTATTTATTTAGATATGTAAAAATATATGAAATCATAAAAAGATAGATGAAAATAGATTTATGAATGGTGTGTTAATTTCATAAAGTTTTTAATAATAAGGTCCTTTTTGAAAATTATGGTTAAGTAATTGGCAGATTTTTTTTTATTAAATCTATAACATGTCTGTAATAATTACAAACTACGAGGGTGGATCAATAAGTACCCGTGTTAGAAAGGAAGAGACAAGTTTTTCAAAAAAAATTATTTCTATTTTTCAACGTAATCTCCTTTAAGTGCTATACACTTTTCCCAACGTTTCTGCTATTTTTTTAACCCCTCCAAAAAATACGATTTCTCAAACTCAGTAAAATACGCTCCAGTCTCGACGATAACCTCCTCGTTAGAGCTGAATTTTTTTCCCCCGAGCCACGTTTTCATGTTGGGGAATAGAAAAAAGTCGCATGGAGCCAAGTCGGGCGAGTACGGTGGGTGAGGCAGCAATTCGTAGTCCAATTCTTGCAATTTGACCGCGACAATTCTCGATGAATGTGCTGGTGCGTTATCGTGGTGAAACAGCACTTTTTTCTTAGCCAAATGAGGCCGTGTCTCCTTCAATTTTTCATCGAATCGGTCCAATAATTCACTATAGTACTGCCCTGTGATCGTACTTCCTTTCTGCAAAAAGTCCATGAGGATTATTCCCTTGGAATCCCATAAAATAGTGGCCATGATCTTTCCGGCCGATGGGACCGTCTTTGCTTTCTTCGGAGCAGATTCACCCCGAAAAATCCATTGCTTCGACTGTCGTTTAGTCTCTGGCGTATAATAATGTATCCAGGTTTCATCAACGGTGACGACTCGACGCAAAAACTCCTGCGAATTTCGATTAAAGAGGTCCAAACACTGCTTCGACATTGACAGCCGTATCCGCTTGTTGTCCACCGTAAGCAATCGCGGCACCCATCGGGCAGATACCTTTCTCATGTGTAACTTATCATGCAAAATATTAATTGCCGTTCCGTATGATACGCCTACGGTCTCTGCTACTTCTCGCACTTTCGTTCGGCGATCTGCGACAATCATGTCTTGGACCTTTTTAACGATTTCCTCGGTAACAACGTCTGCCGGGCGGCCTGGTCGCTCCTCATCAAAAACAGATGTACGACCACGTTTAAATTCGTTGAACCAATATCTTACGGTTGTCATAGATGGTGAAGGGTCCCCATAGACAGCATCCAACTTCACTTTTATTTCTTCGCATGTTTTTCCATCCAAAAATAAAAAGCGAATAACGGATCGATACTGTTCTTTTTCCATTTTATCGATTAATGCGACACACGTATGGTACAAGTGGCTGCCAAATAAAAACCAATCTATGAATCAGTTTGAAATTTAGTATGGTGTCGTGTGACAGATGACAGTACACGATGGTAAAGCCAACTTCCCTCAGCAACGCCACCTGTCTTCAAACACGGGTACTTATTGATCCACCCTCGTATAGGTACTTATTCAATTAGTTAATAGATTACATTTGGTTGTAAACTTAACATATAGTTATGTGGACCTGGATTAACATAAAATCTGATTATTATTTGGTTAAAATTAATAAATATTTTTTTATGTGTTAGTTTTTTTTATTTAATTATAATTATTAACCCTTAAGTGAAAATCTAAAGTTAATGGTGATGGTACAGCCCGCTTAGCTCCTTTTTAATTTATTTTGTAAGATGTGCCCCGCTCTAGTCGACCAATCGGTATACAAGCAACGGCCACTTACTTACAAACTCTCATATTATTGATGGTGCTCTGGATTTCGATTGTAGGTAGCTCACTAAGAGGCCATTAACTACAAATATTAAATATAAACTTAAAAAACGTTAAAAACTTTAACATGAACAAAATGAATACGATAAAACATAATCTACAAAAACTAAAGCTTCGCAGAGTCTTTTAATTTTAACGAAAATGTTATACAAAAAACATAGAGTTTATATTTTTAAAAAATCATTTAACATTCAATAGTAAAACACTTTGATCTTAGAAATCTTCCGCACTATGACCATGGCGCCATGGTGGAAGAAATTAGGTGATCTAATGAATAATTGTTTTTCAAACAATAGGCAACAATCATGCAAAAAAAATCTGGTTCAACATTGGATGGACCCCATAAAGAGACAGTGAAAGCTTTGTTTTCGCTCTGGTAACGGTAGAGAAAAACACCTTGATAGTAAGGTTGTAATATTTTATGATATCCGGCATAATATATATTTAAAAACTATTAAAAAATGTCAAGAAGATCTAGCACCGGTTATGCAGGATCTTAAATCAATCTCTTATTATGTGCAATTATCGGATGGTGTAAAAATAGTAAAACTGATTCCATTATTAAAAAATTGAGATAAATTTTGTGTAAATAATTATAGACTATAGGTCTATAATAGATATCGGTATTACCAGTTTTTTTTTAATTATATAAAACATTTTAAAATATCAAATTATGAAGTTTTTCTTAGATTTATAATATGCTTCCGAAGGTTCAGCGACACTAGTTGGGCAAGGATTGATTTAATTACTGAGATACAGATTAACCCTGATAAAAACTTAAAATTTGCGTTCATTTTTTTGCCGAGGTACCATTAAAAAAGTTTGTACAAAGTTACACAGAGCTCAATACTGGGGCCAAATTTTTTTTCTCATTTATATAAATTAATTGACCAATTTACCTCTTGAAGGAAGTTGCTAAATACATAAGACTTTATATTGGTAAAGATATGAGTTTAATTTCTGACTGGTCAAAATTACATAAACTTGAGTGATCACTCTAAATATTGTTGTATAAGTACCAATATCTAATAATATTAAATTTATTAGGTAACTATGCAATGATTAAATGTTTGTGACAAGTCAAGTAAAAACTTTTTTTGGTAAAAAACTTGTTATTGTTCTTTTAAAATTGTTGTAGTTAAGTCTAAAATTATACCAAAACTTAGGTGGAAGTTGAATACAGAAAAATAACACTTCATAAGTATGTCAGGTAATAATATATAGGACAGTTGTCTTATTACGAGAATAGAACTGGAAAGTTTTTGTCCATTTGCTCAACATGCGCCTTTCAAATTAATTTGTCATCTATACTGGTAGAATACTCTAAAGTTCAACTTTGCTTCCTTAGGATTTGTAAAAAGTATGTTCTAAGTTTTTTCGTTGTTCATGGATAGATTATTATAATTATTGGCCGTAAAACAATAATTTTTTAACCCAAAAATCACAGTTTTCAATCTATGGCACAATGCCATCAAAAATATAGCATGATATGCTACAAATATTATTTATTTTATTTAAAATAAGAATAATATTTGATAATATAATAATATATCTCAGGACAATAATGACCTTTGTAAATGTGTTTAAGTTTAAAATGCTTGCGATCTAACAGCTGCTATGTTACTCTTTTTTATTGTAATTTTCAAGGTCCTTTTTCTTATTTTCCAACTATTTATTTTCTCTTTCGAGAGAATTGGCCTTTATTTAAATTAGCTTTTACTGACCAGCTACAAGTATTAACATCCTTTAGCTTCAGCTAGATTCATCCGCCATTGAACAACTTCCACGGAAAATTTTAAATCATGAAACATCCACGAAATCTGATGTACAAATAACAAAATACCTCAAAAGACAATATTGTCCAAAAATACAGGTATATTTCTATACCCGGACTCCAGTCTGCGAGGCTTTGCGCTTCTTAGCCTGACAAGTAGTCTTTATAGCCCTGTAGAAGGGTCTTGACCTTTTGCATATTAAGGATAATACAATTTATTTATATTTCATATATACTTAATTTTCTAAAATGATGTTAGGCTTAACCCAATCAATATTTGTAAATTAATTTAAGAATTCTTTAATCGTCTGGGGTATTTGACAGGGAGATACATATTCAGGCATAATTCTATATTTAATCCTAATCTTTATTATATAATATACATTAATAATTATGCCTAGGAAACTTTCTTGCAATTAAAATTTTCAGTTAAATACTTTGCCAAAAATAGAAAATAGGACAAGTTTCAGAAAGTCTGTTCAGAAGAAATTACAGGAGGTAACTCTAAATATTCACATCCAGTAAAGTTACTACTTAATCTTAAAATTTAGAGGTGAAAATAAAACAATAATTTTTGTTTTGATTATTTATTTATATGACTATTATAGTGTATTATAAAAATTATTAATGCGTTTACAATTTTTGTTACACATACTATGTAAGAAAGATTAGTGTTTGTTGTTAGTTAGGTACGGAAAATTTAATAATTACCATACAAGTGTAATCAATTCCCTGAATGCTATTTCATAGTTTATTTAAAATATTTATCAACAAAACATGTGAGTTAATGAATTTAAGTACGGTTTCTCAAACATTTTTAAGGTACAAAAACTGACTTATATTATGATTTATTATTGTTAAAGCATATAAACTATGATTTTTAAATATTAAAAACATATTAAACAAAATAAATTATAATGTAACTGATAATATATCTACAAATTTTGTAATTTTTTTTATTAAATATAAAACTTATTTGTAAAAATATGATAAAAATATATAACTTAAACTAATTGGTAGATATCTGGCACATGGTGTGTGTTGACTTAAAACAGCCAAATTAATATAATAACAAAATTGATTTTCCTAGAGACCAGTTTGTGCTTGTTCCGAACACTCGTCTGAACCCATCGACATATCAGCAATTATCCCACTCTCTAAAAGAAAAGAACATTTTGAAATAAATATAAAAATTTACAATAGAAATAAATAAACAAGCTTCACAAATGGGGCAGAGAATGCCATTTACAGTGTGTGTATTCTTAGTTGCATACATACGAGTATAACAAGGGGAAAATGAGTTTAAACCGTGGCACACTGGAGTATGGATGCCTATCGAAGGGACAAAAAGGAAAAAACATACATTGTTAATTATGTTAGAAATCTAATGCAAAAATAAACTAAAGACATTGCTTAAACTAGCGGAAGCAGAACTAGTAGGCTCTCACTTAAAACGGGCGGTGACAGCATGCCAAAGATATCAGTGTTGATTGAACGCTTTGCTGTCATAGTTACTCTAAATTTATTTTCAAAATTTCACAGCCATTTCAGGAAAAGCGAAGAGTGAACTTTTCCTGTTTTTGGGCAAAAATATATTTAGGTAAGCCATTAGATTCTTACCGTAATGGCACATACTAATTTAATATGTCTATTGATTTTATATAGAGCGTTGTTTGTCAGTATCGCAAATTAGAAGTTTTCTTTTAATTTTTGCTTATTTTGGCAGAGGTTATTGTTGTGTTCCGGGCGTTTCCGAAATGAATAGTTCATCACAGAATAATGTCCAATCATCGTTTATTATGAAACCGTAAAAAAAAATTGCTAATATTTGCTATTCCGTAAATCCCTGAATATAATGTTAAATGCAGTTAACACGTCATTTTTGCACAATACCAATGTATTAAATTATTTTGGTCAGCATAATTCAAAAAGTATTGATTCAATTTTGATGAAATTTGGCAGGCGACTTACGTACAACAACAGAAAGACTTGATTAGTTTTTTTAAAAACCCCAACATGGCAGATCAAAATGGCGGCCACTTTAATTTTTGATTGGCTATAATTCATGAACTGTTATCCCGATGTCAATAAAAATCTATTAGGTAGGTTTGTAAACTTAAAGAAATATTTTTCACAAATTCAAAAAATTCAATATGGCGGAACAAAATGTCAGTTTTGATAACCCAAAGAGTAAGATCGATTAACTAATAATCTTAGCTTTATCAACTCTGTTAAAATAAAACAATGGATTTAAAAAAAAATTGATTTCTGTATTTTTTCCCGCAATTATTTATTTAATTTTCACCGTTTTAGTAAATAAAATATGCAATTCAGTATTGTCAAGTGTGCAAAATTTCAACATTATTATAAAATAATACTGCAAAAAAAGGTTTAACTACCTACTTGGTATGTTTTGTTATTTTTCTTGAAGCTATACTGGATAAGTAGTAAAAATTTTTATGAACCTGAAAAAATGAAATAACCTGTATATATTTCCATAATTTTAAGTTAATAATTATTGTCAACATATTTCCAGGATATTAAAGCCTATTAATAGTCGGAATTCCGACTTAAAGCTCTCAACCTATTTTGAAAATGAAACGCCCTGTATATATTCCATAATTTTAAGGTAATATCTATTGTCAACATATTTCCAGGATATTAAAGCCTATTCCGACTTAAAACTCTCAACCTATTTTGAAAATAAATTTTGTCCCTTCATGGTGTGACTTGCAAATGTTTTTAGGATCATGCTATAAACCTTGTAGAAAGCTTTGTGAAACGGTTTTGCATATTATTTTTATCAATTACAATTTTTTTGCAGATTTTAAGAACGTTTTAATCAAAATTTAAAGGCTTTCAGCAATATTTCTACATTCTCGATTAATTGTTTAATATTTAGTCACGAGCGAGCTTGCGAGCGAATGTTTAATTAAATTTGTGTCTGAAAAGTTTATAAACGAGTTGCATAATATACTTTTATACGACAAATACTTATTATTATCTAAAAATGATTTAAATTAAATATTTTTATAGATCCACATCTATAACACAATGGAGTAACCAACTTGGGAATGCACGCCGGTAAAAATGTCAAATTTTTATGTGTAATAAATCGAAAATGGACCAACAAATATTTTATGAGCACTTGTGGATTCTTCACCCAAATATAGTTTACTGCCGGCAAAATTAAAAGTTCAGTTCAATGTATAAATAAACTTTTCAAATATTGGCCTTGAGAAACTATTTAATGCTTTTGTTTTTTTGTATTAAGATAATAAAATAATTTTCACATTTAGTATTATTTTACAAGAAAGACACTTATTTTAACGATTGTTTGACATTTGACAACTTAAAATTAACTTCAGCCCGTGAATAAAAACTTATTTAGAAGCAATCTGGGTGGGTGAGACTATTAGAAAAACTTTCTTACCCATGGAACATTGGCTATTAAGTGTGGCAGATCTGTGGTAAGGCTTCGGGCTTTCGCAGCCCGATTCAAAGCTTAGACTGGAGTTAACAGGTCCAGTTGGAGTTCCTGCTGATCCTGCGGAGCTGGTACTCCCTGAAGAGACGCTCGACATTGAAATCACGGAGTGAGGACGCTTTGAACTTCTGCAAGATTCGGTCACCGAACCTGCGATTGAGTTTCTAAATCTTGGAGCAGCTACAAAAAAAAGTGTTAAATACAAACAGTAAAACGATCCCTTATAATGTTTTCACTAAAACAATTTAAACATGATATAGGGTAAGACACAAAGTATATACTTACTTCGACTGAGTTGAGCAAAACTAATAGATCTATCGTTAATTTGATCTTGGCTGGGTTTAATGTCAAGACATGGTTTGTTTCCTATACCCATTGAGGACATCTCTGCCATTCTAACAGCTAAAACAGTGGATTAATATAAAAACTTATTATAAATATTTTTTATTTACCTCTATTCTTAATGGCTTGTCTCCAAAGCAACTGAGATAATTCCTCCGTCCAAGCTTTCTTAACATCTTCTGATACAGGTTGCAAAGTGAAAATATCGTTGGGTTTTCGTTTTCTAAACCAAATTTCGAATTTGGTTGGACTATCGCCTATTTTTGCTGTTAGACCTATATCCGTCATCTTAATACTATTCTTGTAGATGTATAAGTCTAGATTCTAAAAAAATATTGTAATATTTATTTGAGTTTTTATGAAATGTTTATTTTGTATTATTAACCTTTCTATCTGGGAACCTTCTGGCTTTACTGAATAATATTAATTCTTCAAACAAGAAAACTTGTCGAAGCGACTTCTTTCCACTTCTGCCTTCCCAAACCAAAAACTCGTTTTGTCGTAGTAGCCTTCCTTGTTCCTTTAGATTAACCTTAAATAAAAAACATTTTAACAAACAACAAATTTAATTTAATATATCCCTTACATCACATTCTCTAATAGAATCCATGGCCAATAGGTCATTTCCGTGTCTTAGTTGGAATCTCACCATTTCTTCGGCAAGTTTAAGATCTTCCAGTTCAGTAATTATTCTATTATTATCTCCAATGTTCAGATTGTGAGGGGTGCAAGCTTTCATTATTTGTTGCAAAAGCAATGCGTATTTACCCATTCTCTGTACAGGTTTTAACAGGTAACTTGCAAGGTCCATCTTGTCTTCCAATTCGATTTGCTTACTCTGAAAATATATGTAAAATTAAGATTACAAAACAAACAAGGATAAAAACAACAAAATTAACGCTAGGAATAACTGTTAAGGGTAATTTATTTTTAGGCTTTGCCTGCCGAAGCCTGTTTTAGATGTTTGACAGATTTTAGTAAAAAAAGATTGTAAATGAGGAAATGCCAGAAAAATAATCACAAAATGACGTGATACGTATATTGATTGATAATATCTTGGTTTTGTTGTTGTATAATGCCTTGGTCCGACTTTTCACTACTTAACTAAGTATACTATTTATATGTATTTTTACCTTAAAAAATATAGATCCATATTCAGACATGAGCGAATCCGACTTGGGTTTATTTTTGTTATATAGGGCATATAAATAAAACCTTTTGTCGTATTTTAGGAATATTTGCCCGACTTGCAAGGGATTGTGTTCGCAATCTTCCAGTTTGTGCAGGAAATACTGACTATGGAATTCGTAGATTTTCTCCACGTTTCCAAAAACGGTATTCCTTTGACCTCTGAGCGCTTGCGGAATGTCCTCTCGTTGCAATTCGGGAATATAGTTTACTATGACGTAGTCTAAGGATTTGACGTAATCCCGTTCAGTTTCTATCATCTCTTTAATTATATACGTAAGTGTTCTAAAAAGTAAAACATTAATTTTTTGTTTATGTTGTGGATAGATATAGTTTACTTACTTTTGAGTCTTTGGGTCCATGTTATTATACAAGGCATCTGACGGTAAGTCTAAAGTTGAAGCGTGACAATACAAGTGATTATTGGCTGATACAGGAGGGACTTTTCTTCTTTCTTCGGTATACGGATCGTCTTCAATGTCGCCACTACTATTGCTAAAATTATAAAATTTTAAGTTAAATATTTAATTTTCAATTAAATATTTCTGTACCTAACATTTTGTATAATCATGGAGGATGAGATAAGTTTTTTGGTTTAAGAATAAATCTATTATTTAATTTAAATTTTAAAAAGCTATAAAATATTTTATAATTTAAAGATGTCATTCTTTATACATTTTCTCCTTAAAAAATAGGAACAAAATGTATAAAATCTGGCATTAAAAAGTATCCTTAAAAATGTAATAAAAAGATTTAAAATAAAACTAAAATATGTTTTGTTTTATTTTTGAAATGTTTAGTATTGTTTATAGATTTATACAATTATAATTTATCAAAATATTATGTTACATCCATTACTTTGTTAGTAAATAAACAATAAAATAAACAATAAAAATAAAATATAAATAGTGATTTTTGATAAGATATAGAAAATAAAATATTAAAGAATAATAGTTGTCTACCCAAATATATTTTTTGTACTAAAAAAATAGGTGTAATTTTTTTAACAGCGTTGATAAGTTTTCCCTTTTCGGTGGTAGGACATTTACCATTTAAATATGTAAGTTAGGACATATAATCAAGCATCATGGACTTAAATGAGTTATTTAACATATAGCGGGGATTATTTTTAATATTGTTTTATACAGGGTATGTAATAGGTTTTCATCCCTTGGTAAGTTCTTCCTCTATCACTTTTGCATTAATGCTACTTTTTTTGAATAAAAAAAATTATAAAAATCTTCGACAGCAGTACCGTTAAATCCCGTTAAAATCATCGACAGGAGTACTAATAGGAACCACAGTTAAATAAATAGCCGACTCTACTTAAGCCAGTATAACAGTCTGCAATTCTACGTGCAATACGCAATACTCTTACAAAAAGGCATGCGCATAGCGGCGTTTCGTGCAAGTCTATCGGCCCTGCTCGATTTTTATTGCCAGTTGCATGCAAGTCTGGGGAAAAATTGGTAACTTTTTTTATACCGATCCACACTTTAAATTCCCCAAACACGCTGGTTTGTTTTTTGAAGTCATTTTGTGTTGATTCTTTGTATTCTAAATTCTATTACATAATATGACAGGAGCTAGGTTTAATTTTAATTGTTCTTTATAATATTTTATTTTTTTTTTCTGTTGGTATCATTCAAGTTGGAATTGGAATTGCAAAGTGTATTACAGTCAGCAATAAAACTTGCATACAAGACAAATTTCTGCAAGAAAGATTGCTGCAAGTAAAATTGCAAAGTGTAATACGGGCTTTAGTCCGTCGACCCAGACCGCTTAAATTTCCTGAACAGGGGCAAATTCAGAAAAATATTTTGATAGGGGTTTCAAAGTATTTATGCAAATTAGGGTGGTTCATAGGACAAAAAAGGTTCTTGAATCTTGCCTCCACACAGTTCACTTTTTTGTGTGATTATGAAATAATAGATGTACCAATAGAGGAACAGGAAGGGCTCAGGCTTAAGCATAAATTGATGCAGATACGTCATGTTAAGCTAAATTTTATAAATTATTAAATACGTATTTGATACGACAGTAATTATGGTTTTCATATTGAGCTTTGAAAAAATTTTTGAAGGTGAACTTGGCTGGATTAATTGCATAAAACTTATGCTTTCAGCAGCTTTCTTATGTTCGTTTGGCTCTAGTGATAGTCCAGAAGCTGGACTATTTGACGGCATTCAGAAAGCGTAACCAACTATTGATTAAACTGCTTATATAGCAGTTGATATTACCATATTTTAAAATCCTTTATTTAATACTTTAAGAAAAGAATTACTGTCTAGAAAAACTGCGACTACGATGGATAAAATGCGCTCCTGGCCCTACACATCATGCTTGATGGTTGTCAAAAGCCATTTAAAGATTTAACGTTTTCGAAATTACTTTTCTTTCAGAACTGAAGAAAATTTCAAATATTTAGTTTTAATTGTGAGCTTGCTTTTTGTAAAATATTGGAATAAAGCTTCACTAAGAATTAGAGCTTTCTATAATTATATTCAGCTCTAAGGTATCCTAAAAAGTTATGCTGGTTTCTTCTCATTTTTAAATGACAGAGTGCACTCTTAACCATTATATGTTTAGTTTTTGTAGACATGTAGAAATGAAACTAAAGCGTACAAAATTGCGAAAATTGTCAAAGTCGCATTAATTTAACTAAAGAAAATGATCTCACAATTGAGGAGTGATTTTTCAAAAGGTCGTATTTTCATTTGCATAATTTTTCAAAAAAATGACTATAACCTGTATAGGTTAGGGCAATATAGATTATTTAAAAAAAAATCTGATGAATATTTAATAATACTTCAGACCTGCTGTCATATTTCGCGGTTAATATATCACGGTGCTGTTCTGAGAGGTGATTTTTGGACTTTCTGTGAAACCTAATTTTTTTTATATTCTTGTTAATTAGGTCATAACTAAAATTTTAAGTTAGTTAGCAACTACGAGTCGTGATTACACTTGCCCCAAATGCTGGGGCAAGTGTAATCAGCACACTCATACGTATTCTATAATTTTTGTTTAGTTTTTGAAGTGTTTTTTATAAACAAAAAATTGTAGTAAAAGTTTCGAAGAAATTCATGAAATTTAACTAAGGACCGGTTTATTCATCTTTAGTAAAGTTTATCGGGCCGATAACTTTTATGTCTTGGCAATATCTAGTACCCAAAGAAATTATTCGTCAAATAAATCAAAAATTAATCAATCGGCCCTAAATAAAATGTGGCACCCTTAGAATTATTTTTTAATAAATGTATACTATACATTTAACTTTAAATTAAAACTTTAAACGTGTATTACAACAAAACAGTAAAAGATATAAAAAATGTATAGACCTTTTTTTAGGAAATTAACTAATCTTTAATCTGATTTAAAAAGTTATGATAATATTTAATAAAATCGCAAGTTTTAATTGGAGAATTGAAAGTGTGCATACATATTTTTAATAAACATCTAATTAAAACAAAATTAACCGTCAAATTTTTTTTTATTTTGCTCTTAAAATTTTAGTTATGACCTAATTAACAAGAATATAAAAAAAAATAGGTTTCACAGAAAGTCCAAAAATCACCTCTCAGAACAGCACCGTGATATGCCTTTTAACCATACCTTTGGGATTTTGTCAAAAAATTACATTCAAGTAAAAATGGAAATAAGGCCTTTTGAAAAATCACTCCAATTATTGTTTAATAGACAATTTTACTACTGAAAAAACAGCTTCTTCTTTATTATCCCTATTATTGAAGGGAAATGCAAAAGTGAAAAAGTGCTACCTCAGAATTGGCCATTGACCAAACGGGAAATCAATATCTTTTAAAAATACACTGAGCAACGCCTAGTCGCAATCTTCGAAATTGTTTCATAACCTTAGCAATAATAAAAAAATATATATTTAATGTTTAAATCTGTGACGAGATCCGAGAAAAGAAATTTAGTTTAAAAAAACGATTTTCGAGATAATCATTATTTTAATAAGAGTGGTAAACGATCTTTCGAAAGGTCCAGATAGTATTGGTTCGTCTAAAAAATTTACACACAAACGCCTATGCCACTGGAACTTTAATCACCTCTCCTGTAAAATTGGATTTTTGGACTCTAGGCCCATATTCTCGGATTCACTTATAAATATATGTAATCCTTTTTAGGTTATCTAAGTAGTTTTTCCGACAAATTATGAAATATCATAATTTTATAAAAAACTAAATATAATTAAGGGGTTTATTTTTAAAACAAAACATGTTTACCTTTTATTAAATCCATCACTTCCTTCTTCAATAATACTGTCCTGCTGGTTATCCATCTGGTCCGGATTTGAACCAGCACTGGAACTGCCTGCGCTGCACAGATTACAACCCTCGCGATAATGCTGACAAGAGCAAGTCCTTTGCAATTTTTTCTTATTATAAACACTCTCTTCACCCACGGAATTGTCGGCGGTCGACAACCCGCTATCACAACGTTTACACTCATTCCGATCAGATTCGATTTTCTCCAACAGATTCTCCACACTTTCCTCCTTGATACCATCCAGGGTACCGCTATTTTTCCGCTCCAAAGAGTCCTTGTTACCACTCACACCACTACAGGCACAGTTTTGCAGGGCGATGTACCGCTTTTTCAGTTTGTACGACACGGAGTTTTCCGCGTCCGATTCGTAGCAATTGCATTGTTGTCCGGCCGCGTGGTGGTTGCAGTGGTATATGAACGCCACCGAGCTCACGGACCTCCTTCTGATCTGCGTGTTCTGGGTTTTCAGTGGCGTGCTGGTGGCGCTGATTTCGTCCGTAGTGTAGGACTTGTCTTTGTCAGGTGGCTGGTTGGGTTTAGTTTCCTCGTTTTTTTGTACAGCCTAAAATATCGAAGCATTACAAAAATACTGATATCTATTTTGTCAGAACTTAAAATTTGATATTTGACGTTAAATTTTTTTATTTTAAACACTGCTAAGAAAAGGAAACCTTTTTAAGCAAAAAAAAGCTGAAGCCAGAGCAAATCCCAGGAATAATCCACTTGCCTGGATTTGCTCCATCATTGTCATCTTGATTAGATATTAATCGATTTTCAAGAGAGATAAAACTTTTTAATTAATAAAAATTTATTAATTGTGCAGATATTATTTCTGAAAAAGTCGTAGGTAATGTACAGGGTGTTATGTAATTAATGTTATATATTAAAATGGGTTGTTCCTTAGGGTCCATAAAGAAGCACATGAAACTTTTTTTTTCTAAATTCCAAAGTCTAAAAATAATTTATAATATCCTTTATCCTACCAAAAAGTACGCCACTGATCGACTAGGAACTTTAGGTTAATCTGGTGGATTTATTATGTTATGGTTGGTAACAACAGTATTTCCAAAATCTCTAAAAAAAGTTGACAAACATTGTTTAAATTTAGCTTAATTAAAAAAATGACAAAATTAACAATGCAAATTGTCAATTTGGCGTTTTTATTAATTGTTGGTTATTTCATTTTTTACTGAAGGTAAATTTAAACAAAATCTGCCAACTTTTATGACAGAATCCAGTGCATTTCTTTAAAATTTTAGGTTATGTTTTCAAATTGTAAATATCTTAACTAAGGGAAGTGCTTTTGGATTTATTTATACAAATTAAATGTTTAAAGTTTAACCTGTGAACTGGTTCCAATTTTATCTGAGTAAACAGAGAAAAAAACTGATGAAAAAATTAATTTTGTGGTTATGGATTTCAAATTTCAAAGGTACTAAATTTTCTAATCATTGCTTAAGCTAATAGCTGGATCAGTAAATAAATACAGAAGGGTATTAGAGCTTTAAGGGCATAACAATTTTGTATTTATTGAGTTTTTATTTATTTTTTGCAAGAAAAATTTTTAGTAACAATTTTTTACATCTGGCAACGCATAGCTACTTTGTTGGTTGGTATCTATGTACTCACAAAATACAGGTGTGCAGAGATAAACAAGTGTGTAACCAGTGGCGTATCACAAAAAATATAAAAAACTTCTAATGCATATTTTTTCTTTATCTTTGGAAAAATGCTTTTTAAAATATTTTTCCTTTATTCCTTATGTCAAAAGGTATTCAGTATTTTAATATATAACATTAATTACATAACACCCTGTATATTCATATGATGTATGGAACGACTTAAGTATTCGAAGATGTAGGGTGAAATATATATTATATAATCTTTTATTAGTAGGCTTTTAACAATTGTAATGATATATTAAAATTTAATTGTTAAATATTTAAAAACGCTATTATTGATCTGAATCTGAATTTGATTCATAAAATTAATTTTTTGATAAATTTAAGGTTATATACAGGATGATTTAAAACTCGAGGCAAAAACATAAGAAATGTATACAGTTTTATATTTTCGATAAAAAATGTAAAATAAAATTTTTGGAGATATGGCTTTGTTTTTGAGATAGTAGACTTTAAAGTTTCTGTATGCGACCAATTTAATTTCATAAATTACAATAAGTCTAGAAATAAATGAGTTTACAAATTTTTTTTACAAATTTAAAAGTTGCCTTGTTAGATTAGTTATTTTGTGAAACATGCAGTTTCCTAACGAAGAATATGCAGATATTATTTTTGAGTACGATTTTTGTGATGGCTACGCATTAAAAGCTTGTCGGGAGTACCACAGGGTGTTTTCAGACGCTGATCAAAGGCTACGACAGATGAAATTGGTAATTCCCGTAGGTACTGGTTCTGGTGGTGCTACCCGAAATAATTATTATGGTGCTATGAGGGAAGAAGAAGTGATAGATTGCGTGCTCGATAATCCAGAAATTAGTACTAGACGCATTGCTGCCCGTCTTAATGTATTCCAAAGTTTTGCTTGGAAAACCTTAAAAACCGAAGTTTTACATCCATTTCATAGAAAAAATTACATAATTTGCACCCAGGAAATAACATGCAACGACTCGCCTTTTGTCAATAGCTTCTTTAGCAGCATGAACAAAATGAAAATTTCTTCAGAGAGCTACTTTTACTCGGATAGCATAAATACCTGCCGTAATGAACGAATGTATGTAGAAAATCCTCACGAAGTATTCAACAAAGTTTCTCTATTAATGTCCGGAGTCTTTAACGGACATTTACTATTTTTAGAAAAAGATCTCACAAATTTGCTGAAAGATTTGGTATACCATCGTATGTGGTATCAGTACGACGGAGCACCACCACATGTTGGACGAAATGTTGTCGCCTGGATAAACCAAACTTTTAATAGGAGATTGATTGGTCGGCGTGGTCAGGTGCTATGGTCTATGAGATCACCAGACTTGAACCCTTTGGGATATTTTGTATGGGGCATTTCAAACAACTGATTTACGCAGTGGAAATTAATAACCAAGAACAATTAATGAAACAAATTATTAGTGCAGTCGAATGGCAAAACATGCAATTAGTGTACGATTCCCTTATTTGCGTATTGGTGCTAATGGTGGTATTTTTTAACATTTGATTTAATTATTTTTTGTATTTTTATATTATGTATTAAAGTTAAAAATTGATCACATGCAAAAACTTTGAAGTATATTATACTTGAAAACAAAGCCATATCTCCAAAAATTTTATTTTACATTTTTTATCAAGAATATAAAACTGTATACATTTCTTAATTCTTCGCCTCGAGTTTTGAATCACCCTGTATATCACAAGGTATTTTTTCCTTTCTTTTTAAATTCTTTTTAATTTTTTTAATTTCCTTTTCCCCTTCGAAAAATTGTTAGTTAAAATTTATGACTTTGGTTAGATACAATTTTTATTCAAGATATTTTAAGGGGACAAAGTGGCATTATTATATATTACAAACAGCGTTTTTCTAATTTAGTGTTTAAATTTCTTAAAAACCTGACGTGATCGAGCAATTTAGGTAGGATTTAATTTATTGCATTAAAAACCTTTATTTTAGATAAATAAAATTAATGTAAATTTACTATTAATGAAAAATAATTATAAATATAACAATATAAGTTTATTATTTTCCAGCAACTCTAAAAGGCGTTTATTGATTTAACCAGAAAGTTTTTTTAACACAAGTTTACCCTATTAAGTAAAATACATCGCAAAAAAAATAAAGCACACTAAAAAACTTACAAAACAGATCATCAATTTTTGAAGTTATTAAATTAAATTTGGTGCGGTCTATAATAAAAATATATATACATTATATTAAGGAAATATAATTATTAAATATCATTACCTTGCATATTTGAATTAACTTCTCATTTCCAGTTTTTTCGGCCAGTTTTATAAATTCCTCCTGTTCCTTATTATCGTCTTCAAGAATATCGTGGCAAGACTCCAAAAGAAGGAAACATCTTGAGGTATCCTCAATACGTTCCCTCGTATCTTCCAGTTTCTCCTTGAAACCATCCATGTTCAATTCTAATTTGTTGATCTCCTCCATCGGATTTTGACCTTTTGGAGTCTTAATGTTTTTGCATTCCTTCACTAGGTCTTTCGATTTTTCATATTGCCTCTGTAGAAAGCAAAAATAACAATGAACCATAAAAAACACAATGAGTGTTTACTGTTAGTTGACGTTTATAAGCACTACACATATAAGGAAGAGTGAGGTTACTTTGTACTTTTTGCAAATAATTAATAGGTAAAACAAAAACACAAATTTTAGTAGGAAATTCCTTAAAACTTATAATATCACATGTGTTGTTTATCTAATTTGAAAATAACACGGCACAAATTGGCAATGCAGGTAATTACGACGAATTAAAGATGACTTGAGAACCACGATAACTTAAGCTTGAGAAAACCAATAATCATGCGGTTATTATCAATAATCTATAAACGTTTTCTCTCAATAAACGACATTTTATTATTAATAATAATCACAAGCAATGCGTTCTTTTTTAGTATAATCACTTCCTCTGAAATTAAAATAATGTATTTCCTAATAAAGCAGCGGTTATTTTATATTCACAGGCCACACATTACTAAAATGTTTGTAATGAATCATTTCAAGCAAATGTTGTTGTTTAGCAATTTATACAAAATTAAATTATAATTTCCGTTTGATGATAATTAAGTTTTATTACATTTTTTAATTTAAATATTATAAAATCTAAAATAAATTACTTACAATTATAAATGTAACTACAACAACCATAGATGCCAAAGCAACACAAAATTGTTTTAATAGAAACATCGAGTCAAATAATTAATTGCGCGAATTTGTAGGTAAAGGAATGATTGGTAATGATGTGGTATGAAAAAATTTATTGTATTGAAACGTTATATGACGTAAAACGGTTATTTATATAAAAGTTTCCAATATAAATGTTAATTGTTATAGAAACCTGATATAGAACAATCAAGAAATATAATTATATACTTTAAATTTAGAGAAAAAAAATAGGTATATTAGCAGAAAAGTGTTTGCATAATTTAAGATAATAAAATTACGTAAAATATTTTTTCATCTATTTAATATCTAGACTCTATTTAAAAAAAGCGCCAACTTAAAACTCACCCTGTATTGTTATAAATGTTAAACATTTTTCTAAGAAGAAAAAAATCATAAAAAACTAAGACAGCAGATAAAGGAATTGTGGGTGCATTTATTACTAATAAGATAAGTAAAATGTTTGCTCTATGAGTACGAAATACATTTGAATTTTTTATTATTGATTATTTTTAGACATTAACATTTATAATATTTCTTACTCACCCATGCACTAAAGAAAAATTTTTCGAAATCATTGGCCACATTCTTGGCGCCAGCCGCGTCCACGGTCGACCGAAGGCGTAAAATTAAACCATTCAAAGTCTCACCACCGACTTTGTTGCTCCAGTTTGAAAGCTGAAATATAAAAATAAATAAATTACTAAAATAATTTTAAATATTAGTTCTTCGTTGGGGGAATTTTAATTAAGTTATTTTTATCTTATTGCAAAGGGTTATGCTAATTTCTAAATGTAATCATATTTTTTGATAAATTATTTAACAATATGTTTAATTTTAATATCATATAATATATAATAAAAGGCTGAAAGGCCATCGACTATAGTCGATAGACTTATCTTTATTTTTAATTCAATAAAGACAAAACAAGGAACTTATTTCTTGTTAAATGGTTTTGTTATGTTTTTTATTATTGTTTGTATTATAATATTCATATTTACCAAAAAATTGTTTAAAGTAGCAAAATTTGACAGTTACCTAGGTTTATGGAAAATATATTTTTGTAATATATCTGCAACGTTTGGAAAAAATATAGAATATATTTAAGGATCCGATCACAGGGGCCCTCCCCCTGGGCGGCAATTTAGGGGGCGTTAAAACGAAGCTCTAAATGGCGCTCTTTTTAAATTTTATATTCCATAAATACAGCGATATTCAGAGGTCCTTATAAAAAGTGTTATTATACGACAAGTAGAAACAATCATTTTAGTAAAATAAACATAATATGTCTGGAAACGCTGCAAGCATAAAAAATTGATAACACCTTTTAACTTTCGCGCGCTGGTATGGGAGGCGACCTAACAAGTGAAAAAAAATTGAAAAAATATGAAAGTGGGTTTTTTTTTGCTCTATACAAATGATCTTTTATACTTTATACTACTCGTTCAAAAGTCGTTAGAAATTATAGTAAATGTCAAGTTTTTATTAATTTTTATAAAAAACTATTGGATTTATTTTCCATAAAAATATATTATTTTATAATTTTTAAATCCTAAAGTTCAACAGTTTTTCCATTTTTGGTTAGAATAACAATTAAATTCAAGAAAATAGCAAAATTGCAAAAATTTTTATAAACAGTTTTAAAAAAATGTATGACCTATTTTTGTATAAAATTAAATGATCTACAAAAAAAGTCCTATGACATTTTGTCCAAAGGTATTAAGAAAAACCTAATATTTACTATAATCTATATTAAGTATTGTAAGTATATTTATCATTAAAAAATAAGATAGGTACTTTATTTGTAGAGCGTTTAATTTTATACAAAAATAGGTCATACATTTTTTTAAAACTGTTTATAAAAATTTTTGCAATTTTGCTATTTTCTTGAATTTAATTGTTATTCTAACCAAAAATGGAAAAACTGTTGAACTTTAGGATTTAAAAATTATAAAATAATATATTTTTATGGAAAATAAACCCAATAGTTTTTTATAAAAATTAATAAAAACTTGACATTTACTATAATTTCTAACGACTTTTGAACGAGTAGTATAAAGTATAAAAGATCATTTGTATAGAGCAAAAAAAAACCCACTTTCATATTTTTTCAATTTTTTTTCACTTGTTAGTCCATTTATTTGTTTACGAGTAATATAACTCCAAAATTAACAAAAAATCCAATATTATTTAAATTGAAAATAGAAAATCGCGATAAGCGAACTCTTAATATTAATAAAAGGCTCCTGATACTTTTAATTAAAAAAATCGTTGTTTTTTTAATTTAAAGGCCTCTAGATAATTGGGTTGAATTAAAGAGTATGTGGCCCTACATTATTCAGGCTTTTTTGGGACATGTATAAATCCTAGAATGTTTTATTTATTTATTTTTAAGAATAAGTGTTATTTTTTTTATTTTTTATTTTTGACCTAAGATTATTGCTTTGTTTTTATTTTTTTAATTTATGTTTGTACAGTGGGTCTTTTTACGAAAAAATTAAATTATTTTTTTCTTACAACTGTATTTAAGGGCATCAATTTAAAAAAGTTGTTTAATATCTATTAATATATAATATAAGAAGTCTTTTAAACATGTATAGGCCCCCAAGCAGCTGTAGCCCAGGGCTAAAGTCCACTTGTCAACCGATATTGTGTAAAAAGTAGTCAAAATGTCAATATTTAAAGGATTAAAGGATTTAACTAATTGTTGAAAAAAATATCATAAAAACTCAAATTTATCAAGTAATGAAAAGTTATATTTTACTTATGAAGGTGCAGATATTGCGGAGAATACACAGTTTTTTCTAAAATCAATAAAATTAAAAATGTTAACATTTGAATTCAGGTCAGTAATTTATTGGATTTCATTTAATTACATGTAATTATTATTTCAAATACCAACCACTTTATGTTTAACTTTATTAAATGTTTTACCAATCGTGTTAAATACAAATCTATTGGCTTTAAATTATGACAATATTGTGTAAAGGATTTTGTATAAAATATATGCCTGCTAAATTTTAAATTAAATTAATCCAATAAATAAAGAGTATAAATTATTTAAGAAACCAACACAATATTTTTAAAAAGACTGCATTCTTAATGTATACAAAGATAACTCATATAATTTGTCTAGTCAATTAAGCGTGTATTTCTTAGACACGTTTAACATAAAAATAAATTAAGCTTAGCTTTTATTTTTAAAGAAAAACTTTTTAAAATTAAAAATAACATGCTTAATATCCCCTTGATTATAATTCAAATAAGGAAATACAATTAAACCATATAAATACCATATTTTTTGTAATCTTACTAGTATATGAGCGAATAATATTAATTTATTTAGTATCTTATACATTTTTTAATTTGCATTTCTGCTGATAATAAAGCCATTAAATAATTATAATTGTTGTATACAAGATTTTAAAGTAAACTTTAATAAACCCAAATTAATTTTTAACACTTATTTAATACCTGTAACTGTTTTCAAATATTTGATTTTAATTATTAATAATGCATTAAATAGTATTTTATTATTAAAAATTACTGTAGCCATTTACAATATATATTAAAAAACTTTATAACAACATAAAACACCTAAAATAGGTGCTTACCTTAAATATTTATTGTTTAAATTATGCACATGCACTTGATAACAATTATCTACACAGCACTGAGAAACAAAGCATATTTATTGTTTGAATTAATTGGAAACAGAGTTGTAGTTTATAGCTTTTTAATAATTATTATAATTAACCCTTTATATTAGTCCTTGAAAATGTGCATTAATATTAATGATTATTGCCATAACTATAGCACAATTAAAATAACATTTTATGAAACCAAAAAAAATATTTTCTACGCATTAATTTCAAGTTAAAATTTGAACACTTCATCTCCAAAATAAAGCGTAGCAAACCTAAGTTGATATGAACTTTTTTCTTTAAATCCTCCAATGATTGTGCTCATTTATTATCAGCATCCAATAAAAAAAACACCTTGTATACAAACCTTTAATAATTTAAAAATCAATAAAAACGTTAAAATAATAATAAATTACTTAGGTATATCGAAAACTTAATATTTTCAGAATTACAAGGTGTTAAAAGTGCATATATTTAAAAAAATAAGTTAGTTTAAACTAAATAACATATTTTATTAAAATTTCATTAGTATTGTTTTTTTACTTTGTACCATATTGGGAATTAAATTCGTTTTCATACAAGCTTCACTGGGGAAAAAAGGTCTAAAAAAATGTGTAAACATTTTTAAAATAAGCATTTCATTTAATAAAAAAAGTCCTCTTAAAGGTTTTTCGTAAAATGTAATTTTTTTTAGATTATTGAAGCGTACCTTTTTTATCTTATTTTATTGTAGTGACGCCAATGCTTGCAGTATGAAAACGAATTTAATGCCTAATGCCTGATAAAATAATACTCACCAAATTTCAATAAAATAGTTAAGGAAAAATGATTTAAAAAAAATATATGCTTTAACACCTATAACTTAAGCTTGTGAGTTTTTGATATAATTTTATTACATTACACCTTATTTCGATGTTATAATTATATATTATTATACGAAAGATATTATTCACGAGGTTGAGGTTTGCGTCTCGAGTAGCCAGACGAGAGACTTAGGTCATCCGAGTGAATAATGCGCAGAATCTCGAGTTTAATTAAATAATTTTTAATAATAAATAAATAAAATCTGACATCTGTAAAATGGTTGACCTCAATTTTAACAAATTTTAAATGTTATTATAGTCGCCTTCTCCTAATTTAAAACCAGATTGGTCCAAATCACAGTAAATATTGAAATCTGCTATAACTGATGCCAAAAAACCTGAATAATGAGTTTATTATTTCCGTTGTTAGGCAGGGAATTTATAATGTTTATCATTATTTACGAAAACAAACAATGTTATGCAAAAGGAGTAGATAAAATAATTTACTTTTTAATTATTCTTTAATTTATCTCCGTAATTATATATTCTCCTTGTGATGGCTATTAAAAGTTTAGATCGTAAAATAATATTCAACCAAGTGTTAATTAATTAACTGAAATATAATGCAGGTGAAAAAAAGACCTTTTTATTTATAACTTTTAATGTAATATATTGATTTAAAATAAATATATATTTATATATTAATTTAATTAAAAAAAGTTAAGCACCTAAAAAATTAGTAAAGAATTTATATTCATACTAACTATTGTTGTATTCAATCATAAGACTTTAAGACAACTTTGTAATCGAAATCAATGTTGTGTTAAATTAAGAAATTAGATTAGATGAGATTATAATTTAGGTGTTTTAAACCTAAAAGCATGATTTGTTTCTTGAATTTGTCGTGTCAAGCGAGATGTTTACATGATTTTTATAGTGACAACGTTAAGTGCACTTGTCCATTTATAGTAGGTAGATGATCTCCTTTTGCTATTTTGTAGTTTATTTTTTTCTTTTCACTGACCGATGATTCATATTAGTTTTTCTTATTGCGCCGCAGACAGGATAACCGTGTAAGATATTTATCACAAAATTTACATACACAAAGTCAAGGATGATGCTTATCGGAGTTTTTATTTTTTTGATCTTAAAAATAAAATGATTCCACGTAAAAACAAAAACCTTATCTTACCTCTTCGGCCTCGGTCTGCAGGGTTCTGAACCTGGCCAGTTCCTTCATCCTTTCAATTCTCTCCTGTTTAAGTTGTTCCAACCTTTTGGCGACCCTTTCCACGGAATTGTGGGAATCGTAGGCGAAGCTTACGCTCCTCTTTACGTCCTTGCAGTGCGGTAGCCATTGACTCCTTTCGGAGATGCTGTCCAAAGTCTTCTTTCCCTCTCGCCGTAGCTTTTGCACGGTCTCCGATTCCAATGCTTTGGTTATTTGTCTAAAACGGTACATAGTATTAATTAAGTAATTTCGTAATATATTTACATATTTAATAAAATATATATACTTTTAATTTTGATTAACAGAGGTAAACTTTACAAAATAAGAAAGTAATAAACTTGCTTTTAACAGATTTGGCTCATATAGATAACGTTGCAAATATTTGAAAACAGTAGGAAATTTATCTATTAATAAAAATGACAACAATGCATTTTGTAAAAAAATAATCTCCCTATTTGTCATTTGTGCCCATTTTAGGTTATCAACAAAGCTATGTTTCAAGTAAAATTTCTTTACCGAGGTGACCGAAAAATTAAAGCGAAAAATGTTTCACGAATTTTGTTTTATTTAATATGAAACGCTTTTAAACGCCCATAAGAGTCAGGACATCATAAAGTCTAAAGCTGGATTTATAGTTGGACGCAGACGTAACATAGACGCACTGCAAAAAAATCCAATATAGAATTTAGGTACTCTTATTTATAAATGAACGTAAACGCAGACTTAACGGAAAGGGAACGGAAGAGTTGGTCAACTTTTCCTTTCCGTTTCATGGGTCCGGCCAATCAAAAATTATGTGTGCACAGCGGGTTGTCTTACTATGCTGTCTCTTGTTCGACATTATTCTAAAAAATTTGCGATTTATAAATCGGATACTCTTTACAGTCCGTTTTTTACGTATCCAGTGCGTCTGCGTTACGTCTAACTATAAATCCAGGTTAAGAGATGTTACATCGATGTGTGCGTGTTTTTCAACAAAAAATGAACGTCGATGAGCGTGTTTTACAACAATAAATAAACATCGAAGGTAGGTTTCAAAGGATTTTAAGTATCAGGAGAGCATAAAGTCATCAAAAATAGTTTAAAACGGTTTTAAGTATCAGGATTTTACTGTAATTCAACAAATAAGTAAAAAAGATGAAAATAAATCAATCCAGTATTGCCGAACAGTAACTAGTCAGTAACTAGTTAGTAACTAGTGAGTAACCATTCAATAATAAATCAGTAACAAATCAGTGACTAGTAAGTAGCATTTTATAAATTTGTTACAGAAAATATTTATATACGAGTATTTAAATCAATGATATTTATGTACAACACAATTCTAATCATAATTACTCGATTCCTATAGATTCCTTTAGAAGTTTTACTTTAATAGTGCACTTCAAATATATATATTTTTTTATCTCAATAATGAAATATACAGGGGGATCCCCTATAATGTCGCCCCCCTATAACTTTTTTATTTTAAATGTCCCAAAAAGTTTAAAAGTGTGGTTATGTACGTATAAAAATCAATAATCAATCAATCTACAGGGAAAAACAAAAAGTTTATTTTTTTTTCAATGGATCACCCTATAGGGTGATATATGAATTTATTTTTCGATTCCTTGTAAAACTCTGAGCATAATTCATATAACAAACCATATACCTAAACTCAACCGTTTCTGAAATATTCGCATTCGAAATGTTATCATTAAATGTTTTTTAAACTGTTAGAAATCAAGAAGCCTCAGTAAACCAAAATTTTTATTGAAAATAAATTACTATAGTGACATTATGTCAATATGTCTTCTTAAATAAGTAAAAAAGGCATACTCAGACATCTTAAAAATAATTTAAATATTTCAGAAACGGTTGAATTTAGGTATATGGTATATTTTATGAAATATGCTTAGAATTTTACAAGGAATCAAAAATAAATACATATATAGGGTGATCCATTAAAACTTTTTGTTTTTCCCTGTATACCGATCAATTTTCCAATTTTATTTATACGTAGAAAGAAAGCATTTTTTAGTACCTACATAACCACTAGGGTGTGCCAAAAAAACTCGATATATTTTTTTTCTTGCTCTCCACCCAAAATATCGTAGAATATGTCCAAACAAATATTCTGTTAAAAGCGGAGCTCATAATTTCAATTTTAAGAGGTCCCTCATCGAATCTGAAGTTTTGCCGCTTAAATAACACAGAAAACTGACTTTTTTACCTTATTTATTCTTGCAACCTAGGAAGAATTTTTTTTTTAAAAATCCATGACCAAATCCTACAAAGCATTAAATTTGGACGAAAAAATCTTATTAAGCCGAATTTCTATTTTCATTATTTGATTTTTTACAGAGCTTTAAATTTCAAATTTTACGTTTTTTGCCTTTTTCAGCTAAACTATTGAAGTTAGACAAAAAAGTCAAATGGCAATTTTTTAGCTTGTCTGATGGACCACATAAAAGTTTTAGGCGATTTTTTTGTATCGTCAATATTCTAAAAGTTACAGGCGTATAAACTCATCATTTTTGTATTATTAACTTTAAATTTAAAGCTCTGGAAAAAATCAAATAATGAAAATAGAAATTCGGCTTAATAAGATTTTTTTGTCCAAATTTAATGTTTTGTAAGAATTAGTCATGGATTTTATGAAAAAAAAAATTCTTCCTAGGTTGCAAGAATAAATAAGGTAAAAAAGTCAGTTTTCTGTGTTATTTAAGCGGCAAAACTTCAGATTCGATAAGGGACCTCTTAAAATTGAAATTATGAGCTCCGCTTTTAACAGAATATTTGTTTGGACATATTCTATGATATTTTGGGTGGAGAGCAAGAAAAAAAAAATATCGAGTTTTTTTGGCACACCCTAATAACCACACTTTTATATTTTTTTAGGACCCTTAAAATAAAAAAAGTTAAAGGGGGGCGACATTATAGGGGATCATCCTGTACATCCTTTTTTTCAGCAAGGCTTTCAATTCTTAAATTATTTTGTATTCATTAAACAAGAAAGAGATTCGACAAAATAAAAAGCATTAAAGTATATTTTTAATAAGTTTAATTGTATAGACACATTTGCTAATTTTAAATGCAAACCTTGTTTTCATTCATCGTTCTCATCGATATTTTTTTTTCACATTTACATTAAACTTAAATTTTACCATGTAAAATCTAAAGGTGCTGTCAAAAACATGTTTAACCTATTTTTAAAATACTGGCCTTTTAAAAATTAAATTTTTATATCAACATTTTTAAATTACAAAAAACACATCTTCACCTACATTTTTTGCTTTGTTTGAAGAAAACACTTCGGAGTGTTTGCCCAAACGAATTTGGAAGATATTTTGCCACATTTTTTGTGTTTAAATTTTACTTTTTTTATTTTGTCAAAAAAATTAACAACACTCGAATACTAAACAACCGTTTCGCAATAATTGTTAAGACAATAAAATCGGATATGTATATTTATTAATGTTATTTGACTTATTGCACATTTCAAGTTTTAAAAATAAACAATATTGGACAGGCAGTTTTTAAGTAGGTATTTAAGAAAAAATATTTATGAATGATATGAGCCAGGTAAACTTTTAAAATTATTGTGGAGAAAATTAAAATAAGACAGCTAAGGTTGATAGTGTAAGATAAAGAACCTAATTTTAAATAATTTTAAGTTTTATTTTTTTTAAAAGGAATTAAAATATTGTGTTATTTTTTTTATACAAATAAATTTTATTAAAACAATTATAAAAACCTTACAATTTAAATATTACTAATAATTTTTTAATTGTTTATACTTATAATAACCCTCTTTATATCGTATTTTGACGTTAGTGTGTCATTCTCGAGATACCATGTATAGAAAATATGTATTATTAACAACATTTTCAATAATTTAATTAATGGATATATTAAAAAATACACCTAATAAAATATTGCTTTTTAAAAACCCGGAGAATTATTCATAATATATAACATTTTATATCCATAATAATAAAAAATACATCTATTTTGATATATGTTAAATTAAAAATAAATCTTACCCGGTCATTTTAGGCTAAATAAACTAAACAATGCACAAATTAACATGTAATATTATTTAGCATATAATTAATTCACTGAATTCATTAGTTTATGAGCAAACATTGCAAGATTGTTTATTTTTCGATAATAAAGATAAAGATAACGAGATAGTTACTGCATTTTGCATTTAAATTATTTTAAAAGATTAAATAGTTTTTTTTTGTAGATAATAGTCTATTTTTAAACTAATGAGATAGTAGTAGACACAGCAGTAGAAACTAACCTGCATTGATGATTCAAAAATTTCCTAGTTATCTGGTGCGGCATTTCCTCGTTTCGAAGTTGCGATAAGGTGGACAAAATGCTCCTGGCCGCCTTCTTGCATTCGGAAATAAACGGCTCGAGCTGTTTGAAGAACTCCACCCATTCCAGCTGGTCGTGAGTGCAAGAACCGCCGCAACTGGCCGGTGCATGATCTTTTTTCAGGTACCTTTCCAGGGCGGTTTCATCGGTTACGAATATTGTCTTCGGAAAGAAAAGGAATTTGTTATTTAGTTTATTTTTTTGAATGTTTTTTCAAATACTAATTTCTCGGTATTGTGGTTAAATTTTCAAATATAATTGAAATGTAAATTATATTTTTAAAATAAAGCAATTATCCTCTTTTAAATTAAATCAATAAAAATTAAATGCTTTTAAAATGACTCGAAAGGCTACATTTTATAACAAAATACCTACAAAATATATAATATTAAAATTGTATTGTTATGTTTTTAAATAAAATTTCGGTAATTCCTAAAAGTTGTAATGGGACGATATATGGGCACAGTGGTCCTCGACTAGCCATAGGTTTTATGAAAATGGCGCCAAAAAATAGGTTCAGATATTAGTAGGCATGTATATCAAGGTTACAAAAACGCTGCAAGTCAAATCATAGCTGATCACAAAAATTTGTTTTTGTGATACTTTTATTTATGTTTACATTTGAGCATTGTTTTAAATTAATTTCAATAATTGGCACATAATTGGAGGTCACAAAAGGTTCATTAATAAGTTGGCACTGAAATATTTGATTAACTTGTCAGCCTAGGTTTGGTCTAGGGTTGTCAGTTACTGTTTGCCTTAAAAAACAAATCTAATAATTTTTGTCGGTTTTATTGTTACTTTTATGATAAAATGAACCCTATTGAAATTGTAAGCAACCATGAGCATAACAGCATGTGGGCAGAAAATTATTATGGGTAATACAAAATCGTCGAAATTTTTAATTACAGAATCCTAAGTTCCCAATTTCAATTTCCATCTGCAATACTTGTCGCCATGGTATCCCAAAATTTAAAAGCCAATTATTATGTCCCCTGAATCCGAAAATACCGTCAAAAATTATGAAAGTTTAGCAGTATTTGAGATATGGTCAATTCCATATTAAATGGAAAATTGACTATATCTCAAAAACTGTTCTACTTTTTTAACTTTTCGAGACATTTTCGGATTCAGGAGACAATTTTACATAGGAATTGGTTGTTAAATTTTGGGATTTCATGGTTAACCATGGTTCAAGTGAAAAAGCCACTAATAACTAAATTAGTCATTTTTGACTAATTTATTTTTAGAGAGCTGGGCTTTCTAAGTCTATTAAATTGCACGTCATTTTGGAATATATTACTCAATCTTTGCAGTTTCTTCAAGAAGGTGGACTTGGTTTATGGCCAGAGCAAGCAGGAGAATCTATTCATAGAGAGTTTGTCAAGTACTGGAACCGATATAAAATAAATCTCTTACAAGATCCTTGCTATCAAATCCAGTTAAAAAAAGGTGTTGTTGAGTTCTCCTCTAGACATTTGTAACAAATATTGAGTATATGTGAATTTGTTTTGGTCAATAACGTTTTTTCACTGTAAAAATAAAAAGTACTTTTTTAAAATTGTAGGAATCTAAAGGCTATGTAAAAATGCGAAATTGTTACATCCATAAAATAAGTTAATGATCAGCTACGATTTTACTTGATGAATTTTTGCAATGCTTATAGATATACCTATCAAAATCCGAACTCATTTTTTGGCGCCATTTTCATACAACCCATGGCTAGTCGAGGGCCACTGTGTGGGGCAGTTAATTTTTAACATTTCTTAATTTATTATTTTAATACTCTACGAAATATTAGACTAGTTATAGTTATAAATATTTACCTTAAAATTGTATAAACTGTTTATTAATAACTTAATATTTATACGCATTTTGTTTAGAGTATGTAATTTATTAGGGCAACATTTAACCTAGACATTTAAGAGTTAGGGCATGTTAAAAATAGTGTATAGTACGATTTACTTGGAATGATATTTGTAAATAACATAAAGAGCGCTAATTGTAGACCTACGTGTTAATGTCTTTAAGCATCCCATGATGCACTAGGGAGACTTACCAAAACCGCACGTATATCTGAGCCATATCGGTACAAAGATTAGGTTCTTACGTTCCAAATGAACTATACCGATAGGCCTGTTTGGCTTTGATAAAATAAACATAAAAAGAGCGTGTTAAAAACTTAGAGAAGACAGTACATTTTAGACAGTTACGTTTTGCTATTTGAAGGCAAGAGTTGAATTCTTTAATTTTGTAAGGGAGTGAATTTAACCAATAATACATTGATTTTATATAAATTCAGTTTTTGTGAAAGTTTTGTTTATTTAAATAGGTATATATTTTCTATAAATAGTTATTATAATCTAAGGTCACAAATATCATAATGATTGGTTAATTATTTAATATTTAATTTAAACTATTTTATTATTATTATTTCAGCTTATTCTTTGTGAAAGAAGGAATAGGCTGAATTGTTTTATCTTAATGGTTGTGGTTGGACAAACCAAATTACAAATTTATTATAATCATTATTTTATGTTTGTAATTATTATATTTATTTTACATTTACTTTAACAAATTATATTGTAAAGTAATTTACCATTTTATTACATATTTATATTTAACATTTACATACTTTATTTTGTACAGTTTATCTTATTTTAATTATTTGATAAATTGATATTCATTATTTAATATGGTGAGACTTTGTTTCAAGTTCTGCATATTAAATGAGTTATTTAGTTAGGGAACTTTGTTGACGGTTTCTGGTAAGGTCGGTGGATACAGCTTTGCTTTGACAGGCGCACCCAATTGCCAATAATTGCCAGTTAACCAATTTAGATTGACAAAGAATAGTTAGCTAGGGATATTGATATGAAGTTGTTGTTTTATGGTCTTATTTTATTATTATTGATAATCATTTTATTTTGCCATATTTGATTTGCACTGACATGTTTTTATTACTTGATTATACCTGATTGTATTTGTTATTTATGGCTGTACAATTAAATGACATTACCGTTGTCCACTACTATACCACTTGTTATTTATATATTTTATTTATAAAAATACCATTTATTATTGTTGCTTGTGACCTAAGTTATATTATACTTTATGTTTCACATTATTGTTGTTTGTTGCTGTACATTGATAATTATTTCAATTTGTGTTTGCTTTTGTACACCGTCCGAGCCTATCATTTATGTAGGTGAATAATCTTGGCAATATGATAATATAATTGATTATATTCATATTAATTACTTTGATTTTGTTGTATTATTTATATTGTTGAGATGTGCGACAAATATGCATGTCTGTATTGTATATGTGGGTTTTTAAGGTTTTACCTTACGTTTCAAATACAAACGTTTTTATTTATATTATTAATGTACAGTGGCAATAATATTAACTCTTGTATTAATTGTCTTTATGAATAAACTTATTTTAATTTAATACTTTTTCTTTGCTTTTTAAATATATTTTCAATTGCTCAAGTACTTACGTATCCAGAATCGTATTCACAAAAAAAGGGGTCCTAAATTAATTTCTTTAAACTAGACGACCACGTGTTTTGGCCAAAGCTGTTTTTTTCTGTGGTTTTAATATTCTTTCTAATTATTAATGTGTGCCCCCCTTGCCCCGTTCGTTACAAAGTCAAAACATGTAATTGTCCAAATTTTGTTTTACCATAATTATTATACAAAATAATCAAACCTACATTTTTATTTTAAACACCCAAAATTGTATAATTTATCATGACACATTGTGTAGAGTGAAAATTTTAATATTAAAAACTAACACTGCATAAAAACCAAAATCAGCAAACGTAGGCAGTAAATTTAATCTGTCAGGTACTGTTAAACAACCAAAAAGGCAAAATATGCAGGAGTAATTAGTAGCCGTGTCCAAGTGCCGAGAAAGCGGCTAATGATTGCAAATGTTTAGACTTAATCAATCACACGATTAAAAAGTTTGCAAACAGCACAGGATTTATGAACAAGCCGCTAATTTATGTTGCCGGGGGATTAAGTGTGAATATGTCACTAGGTGTATTGATAAGCCGCGTGCATTTTTTGACAGGACGGGTTTCTAAGTCTCCCACTTAACGCGCACTAATATGCAATAAACGAAAAGAGGATGCTTTTTCATTAACTTAATTATGATATATTTATGGAAATTTATTCGAAGATATTATATTTATAAAATGCAATTTTGTACCGCAATGGATTATGATAAAAAAACATTTACAAACTGGTTATAAGCTAAAAATAATTTTCCTTTAACTAACTTTATGAGTAGTTTTAATACGTAAAAAGTTAATTAACACCAAAGCAAGATTCACACAATTATTCGGATGCACTTGGTCTGTAAAGGGCGTTATAATATATATAAAAAAGAACCTTATGTCCAAAAATTAAATTTCAAAGGAGCCTATGTTTGTGTAGTGATGCTCGTCATTGTCAATTTTTAAGAACAATTGAGGAGCTTCCGGTCAAAACCAAATATGTCCCAGCGAAAATTCAAGTAAACACTACTTGTTGTAGTAGTGGGGGGCAGTGCCGGATTAGCAGTACAATAGGCCCTAGGCTAAAAATTACTTAGGGCCCCATTTATTTTATGGTGGTCATTTTTTTGATAAAGTCAAATTTGAAAGAAAAATAGCTGGTTTGTATGTTTATTTGAAAAAAGTACATAAAAATCAGATAATATCTAAAAACATTAACTCCTATTGCTTTTGTTTTAAAACAAAATAAATAATGAAGTTTAAAATTGTATACAAAGAAGCCTATGGAATAAAAAGACCCTATATGTTATGAATACCTACCTTCCAAATTTATTTTTGAAGTTCCTGGTAAATCATCATGTGGGCAATGAATAAAATTAGACTTCTGTGATTGCTTACTATCAATATTTTGTGTTTTAAAAAATGTGTCTATTTTTGGAACATTTGCTAGAGATGCCGCCTGAAAAACAGCTCTTTCTTTAGCTATTTTACGCTTTTTTGCCCCACTTGGATAGTTACTCATTTTAGACAATAATATACAGACACTGACTTAATTGTATAATGTACACTAAGTCACTATGCACTAATTAAGTTTTTTAATACAAACTAATTTTGTAATTATTACTACAACTACCTATAAATTAATAACTTTCAACTA